GATTCCCCTTACGGCTACTAAACAACCACAGAAAAGCCGCCGAAAACGGTCCGAGATACAATGTCAACAACGGTTGCAAATCAGACTTCGAAGTGGAACCATCAGATCGCCTCTCAGCTCAACAATCAACCGGAGGACTCACTGACAACTGGACGGCAATCAAAGAAGCGATCCAAACGTCAACAAAATCAAGGTCAGATTCCGGCACACGATCAACTAAAAAAGATGAATATACCCAACCTCGGTTGCCCTGCTGAACGTTCGCAAAGCCATTCCTCCGGATTCAAACTACGACAAAGCGCACAAATCTCTTATACACCAGCTCATCAACAGTTTGGGGAATGACCGCGAAAAATGGTGGGTAGGAGAGCGTAGAGAGATGGAGAAGGCTGCGGCTATCGGTAATAGTCGCAATCTTTTCAGATTAATTACGAGTACAGGTCCAAGGAAAGCAGGTGTGAGGTAATTAAAGAGTCCGAAGGCACACACTAATCCATACTCAGCAAAGCCGTCTAGATCGATGGGCAGAACATTTTAAGGCTCAGTTCAGCTGGCCGTCGTCAACACAAGACTTCCCTACATCCGATTCAACTGTGCAAATACTACTAGCTGACATCAGCCTTCCATCTGAAAGGAGGGGTACCCGAGAAATAAGCTATCTCAAAAGGTATAAGGCTTCCGGCTCCGAAGGGCTGTCCCTGTCGGTTTTTAAGGATGGAGGCTCAGCCTTGGTTTTGGAGTTAACAAAACTCCTGGGTTCAGTGTGGGAGAGGGAACAGGTTTCAACTGAATGGTATGAATCGGTGATAATACCGATTTACAAGAAGGGCGACAGGTCCTCCTGTGAAAACTATAGAGGAATTAGTTTAATCAGCATTGTCTCTGAACTTCTCGCTGGGATCATACTCCGTCGATTGTCTACCGCTCGTGAAAAGTGCACACGTGAGAACAAGGCTGGTTTTAGAACTGGTCGAGGTTGTATCGACCACATATTCACCTTTCGTCAAATCCTGAAACACAGACACTGTTTTCGTAGACACCATTCCCATCGACGTCCACCTGAAAGCGGCTTTCGACTCAATCCATGGTTCTTAACTTTGGTGCTGTCTTTTCCTGAAGGGTGCGAGCGAGAAGTTAATTTCAATATTACAATCCCTCTATAATAATAGCCAAAGCCGAGTCCGAGCTTATGGCACTTTTCGCTCGAGTTCACCACGAAAAGTGGTGTTAGACAGGGTTGCCCTCTCTCCCCTTTTCTATTTAAATTTGTCATAGATTTAATTCTTGAAACAGCGGCATCCACTCACTTCCGAGTGGCAGTCTGATCAACAGTATGCAGACGACATTGTGCTACTAAGTGAAGATCCAGGCAAGTTGCAAGCCTTTCTGGATAGTTTGAATGCCAATGTAGCGATGTTCGATATGCGCTTTGCACCTTCAAAGTGTAAAATGCTGCTCCAAGATTGGGTTGGCCCAGACCCCAGCATCACCCTGACCGGGGAAGTTGTAGAGTAAGTAGATAAGTTTTACTACCTGGGCACCTATATCTTACCTGGTGGACGCATCACAGATGAAGTGTCAGCGAGCACACAGAAGGCTCAGTTGGCATTTGCCAACTTGAGACATCTGTGGCGCCGTCGCGACATCCGACTGTCTGTGAAGGGTCGATTATATGCTGCAGCAGTTCGGCCAGTTTTGCTTTACGGTACAGAGACTTGGTCAATACGGGAACAGGATAGAAACAGATAATGGGTGTTTGAACACCGCTGTCTACGTAGCATCGCACGAGTTTGGTAGGGAAACGAAACGAGCAACGCTGAGGTTAGGCGTAAAGTTTTAGGTAATCACGGTCGCCCATTGGAGTAAGTAATCGAACTCCATAGATTACGTTGGTTGGGAAATGTGCTACACACGTCACCAGATAGGTTGCCACGGCGAGCGATGTTTGTCAAGGTTGGTAGCGGTTGGAAAAAAATCAAGGGAGTCAAACTAAGACCTGGCATTAGGGTATGAAAACCCTGACCAGGAGACTGGTTCACATAGGTCCCGTTAGGCTTCCTGGCTAGGGACCCCGAGATCATCGTCACCGATGGTTAGAGACACTGAGCGATATGGCTGGGTGTCGCAAACAGTGGAGCTCATGCATGTACTTATTATTCTTGTAACTTCAGTCCATGTAAATGCGCTGTCTTCCGCTTGAATCCGCTGTCAACATTCCAATCTTCATCCTGTTGCTATATCCAAATGGGCAACCAAAAGACAGCAATGAAAACCGGCGCGAGAAAGTGTCTGGTTTACTGGTTGTAAGAACTGAACTGCCTGCCTGCCTGCCCTACCAAATGAAAAGGACATAAACATTACCGACTCGGTTACAAGTTTGCCCCTTGATACGAAAAGGAAGGTATATTGTCTGGGCGACAATGACGTCTTTATTACGATAGACAGTTATTGCTAAATAGCATTTCCTTAGGAGGTGCTCAATTTCCTATGGTTGAACTTCCAGTAGTGATTAACACGCCACCAATGCAGTACATCTTCACTGCTACCCTCCTCACACGGCACAATTTTATCCCCTTTTTGATTTTCTGCTTACATTCCTTTCATGCTTGTGAGTAATTCTTCTATCCTCAATGATTATGTGGACGATGTGACACTGGAATTGCCCTACTTTAACCCATAATGACACACGAGGAAATGGTGGAATGGCTGCAACAAAGAAACCTTCAAATGACCCCCCCCCCCCC